AGTACAGAGAAGAGCAACAAAGATGATTAGGGGACTGGAGGCTAAAACATATAAAGGAACGGTTGCTGGAATTGGGTATGTCTAGTTTAACGAAGAGAAGGATGAGGGGGGACATGATAGCTGTGTTCCAAAATTTCAGGGGCTGCCACAAGGAAGAGGGAGTCAAGCTATTTTCCAAAGCGCCTGAAGGCAGGACAAGAAGCAACAAGTGGAAACTAACCAAAGAGAGAAGCAACCTAGAACTAAGTAGAAACTTCCTAAGAGTTAGAACAATTAACCAGTGGAACAACCTGCCTCCAGAAGTGGTGAGTGCTCCAACACTGGAAGTTTTTAAGAAGAAACTGGACAGCCATTTTTCCAATGGTATAGGAGGGGGGTTGGACTAGATGACCTCCAAGGTCCCTTCCAACTTTATCATTATTATTTTTATAAGTGACATGACTTTTACAGCTGTTGCAGCATCCCCCTTGTCACTTGATCAGAATTCAGATGCTTGCCAACTGATCAATGTAATGACGTTGCAGTGTCCCAGGGTCATGTGATCACTTTTTGCCACCTTATAACAAGCAAAGTCAATGGGGAAACCAGATTCACTTAATAACCATGTTCCTAACTTAACAAATGCAGTGATTCACTTAACAACTATGACAAGGCCATAATATGGGGCAATATTCACTTAACAGTCTTGCTTAGCAACAGAAATGTTGGACTCAAGGACTACCTGTATGTTTTACGACTTGATTTTCATTCATTCATTCTTTCTCTATGTATTCACACAGAACCATTTGCTTTTCACTCTATATCTTATCACACCCTTCTTAAGTTACCTATTGCATTTCAACTTACTTTTTAGCCTGATGTTTTACTGAATCAAAATAAATTTACAGTAAGTCTATTAAATCAAAATAGTGTTTCAAGTATGTAGAGCAAAATATATAACATCTTTTCAGTTAAACCCAATTTACCTGATTTGGTAAAACAGACACCCCAGTCCTAGGCCTTCAGCTGGGTTTTATAAAACCTTTTCGCTTTAGGCCTCCGCAGCCGTGTGCAAAAAAAAGATTCAATTTCAACTTCTCGCGGGGAAAAAAAAGATCTCGCAAAGTTGGACTTGATTGATTGAACTTTTTAGTCCCACCCAGTCTGCCATTACCACCGCAGCCAATGGGCCACACCCACTCAATGGGCCACACCCACCCAGCACCCGAGGATACATAAGTGGGTTTTGAGTTGCAGTTTGGGCACTCGGTGTCTAAAAGGTTTGCCATCACTGCTCTAGAGTCTTCTGCTTCTCTAGTTATGATGGGTCTCTTTTGATCAATTCCTATCTATAGATTTTTATCTCTTCTGTTTTTGTTCTCTTCACAAATTCTTCTCAGTCTCCCTCTGTTCTTGCCAACAGTCACTGATCCTTCACATTCTGCCTCATATGGATATTTGTAGATGTGAATACTAATATATATTTTTGAAGCATTATTTTTTATCATGAGTATGAACTGATGAAGTGGTATCTTTAGCCAGAGGTAAGTGTTTGAATTTATAGTAAGTAATGGCAGAGTTTGCATTTGCAGTACTTTCCTCTTTATCAGTGCTCCAAGATCCACAAGTCAGAATCATCTGCTGCAAAACTGTGATGTAATTAAATAAGCCAGAAATAAAAGGGCAGATGTATGATGAAATGTTTTAGTGTATGCCATGAAAATGGTGTAATGCAGAGGTCTTCAAACTTGGTCCTTTTATGACTTGTGGACTTCAACTCCCAGAATTCCTCAGCCAGCATGCCTTGCTGAGGAATTCTGAGAGTTGGAAGTCCACAAGTCATAAAAGGGCCAAGTCTGAAGACCCTTGGTGTGGTGTAATGTAATGTAATGCATCCCATTACAAGATATTAGTACCCTAATTGTGCAGAATAAGTGCAATTTTGTCACAGTTAAATTATTTTAAATCAGAAATCATCAACTATCTGCTAGAAGAATCTAAACTATGTGTTCACCCCAGATTAGAATGTTTATTTTGTCTACTATTAATTGGGAATATTCAGTAATAAACATTCCACAAAACAATAAAAGAGAGAAATATAGTTTATCATGAAAAATCAAAACACTGAATCCAAATATTTCCAGAAAATATTAAAATAATCACAAGAGAGTTGCCTGCTCTATGCTCCATTGTGTCCTTTGTCCTTCGCAAACCCGAAATGAGCAATGTTTGCCCCTCAAATTCTTTTTGTGGCTCTATAACAGTGGTTCTCAACCTGTGGGTTGGGACCCCATTTGGGGTCGAATGACCATTTCACGGGGGTCGCCAAACCACGCTGTCCGCCATTTTTTTCCCTTTTCCCTAGCTGTCCTACTCCCTCTTATTGGTGGCCACACCCACTTGGGGGTCACCACAACATGGGGAACTGTATTATGGGGTCACGGCATTAGAAAGGTTGAGAACCACTGCTCTATAATCTCCAAAAACTCATCCCAATTCCTCCAAAACAGACCACCAAATGTGTGATTCCAACCCATACACTTAGCTTCCCTATTGCCTGAAAAATGTGACCCCTAGCTTCTAGTTCTGATGGCACTGTTTTTTCTTGTTGGGCCTACAGCATAGCCAGAGCCTTCTTCTTAAGCCTCTCTCTTGGCTCTCTTTGTCCTCATTCTTTCAACTGCTGTGCTATCTTGGATCTTCTCCTTATTCTCATGTGAAGGAGGAGAGGGCATTGTATTAGCTTCTATCACTGTTTGGATACCTGTCCTATTAGGGCTTAGGAGATACTACAGATAATCCTGACAGATAATTACTAAATTGAAGTTACAACAGCACTGAAAAAAGTGATTTATTACCGTTTTTCCATACTTACGGCTGTTGCAGCATCCCCATGGTCATCTGATCAAAATTCAGACGTTTGGCAACTGACTCATATTTATGACAGTTGCAGTGTCTCAGAGTCATGTGATCACATTTTGCAACCTTCTGGGGAAGCCAGATTCACTTAACAATTGTGTTACTAACTTAGTAATTGCAGTAATTTACTTAACGGTTGCAAGAAAGGAGACAAAATGGGTCAAAACTCACTTAACTGTCTCACTTAGCCACAAAAATTTTGAGTTCAATTGTAGTTGTAAATCAAGGATTACCTGTATTGATTTCTCACCAGATTTTCTGGGGATTGTCCCTCTGTATTCATGGATAAAATTATCTCCCTGGACTTTCCTTGGCAGGTAGCAGTGACATCCTTTCCCAGGTTGGCCTTATTACATTTACCTCATAATATTCAGCATCTGATCTCCATCCTAACTCCACCTTCATTGGTAAATCAAAATCTGTGAATGTCTATGGAACCAGGTACAGGCCAAATTAGTATTTTTGAATCCTGTAACTGATTTTTTTTAGAAAACATCATTAAATCTGCTCCATGAGAGCAGCATATATGCAGAGCACTCACCTCCAAAGCCACATATTAGAAAGTGTTAAGTCCTGGCAGTGGCAATTAGCAAGGTTGCTAAAGAATCAGTATTTGTATATGGCTGATAGGCTTATCTTTTAAAAAATTAAGAGTTTCCCAAACCACTTTTTTTACGTTTGTTTGTCATGATAGGCTAAAATATAGTTAGCTAGCTTGTAAATCAGTGTCTTCTGCAGATTCAGTTCTTGTTAATTATTCTAAAGTCTTTTTCACTTTTGAATTGATGTCACATATAGAAGACCCTTCTTGCAAGAGCCCAATTTATTTTTGGACAATCCTAGGTGGAAATTAGCCAATATGAGACAGCTCCAAGAAGCTCTCCAAATCACAGAAGAAGCAAAATGAGATGTGTTGGCTGTAAGAAAAATTTAAAGACCATTTTAGGAAAATATCTCAGGGCAACACCTCTGAGAGAGATGGGCAGTTAAGAAATAGGAAGAACAAATGCACATGAGGCTAGCAATATTTTTTCCTCATTTCAGCTGCTCTAGATTCAACCTAGGACACAACTTCAAACATCCTATCACCTTATCTTGGTGTCCAGTTTCAATGTCATTTCTCTATTCCTAATCCATGGAAATTGTAACTACGTGGATTTCATATTCTCAGAATTATCTCACTTTTGGCTTCTTTCTCCAAGTCCACCAATTCCATGCTTTATAACACAATGTCTTATCTTTCTGACGAATTTTAGAGGTATTGCTTAAAATAGGATTGCTTTTACATTTATTTTTTTAAAAAAAAAAACAAGCGGAGATATTTAACACTGAAAAATACCAACTACAGGCTACCTTTGCAATTTGAGGGCACAATTTCAACAGAGGAAATGTGAACAACTTTTGTTGAGAAACCCTTGAAGTGCCGTTTGCCAGAGGAGGATGTTGCGTTAGACGAGCCCTTGGCGACCTTACCCCAGTCGCCAAGAAAACGTTTAGAAAAAAGTTTTCTAAGACTTGTTTCCTTGGAACCCGAGAGGCCCCGTTTGGAAACTGAAGGCACCACTCATGAAAAACCAGTCAACGAGAACTCTTCTGTGCAGGGGGCTGCGGAGAAAATGGGGGTGAATGGTTCTCGGGAGCTTCCAAACTCCCGGCTCTGGCAAGTCTAAGTGTCGTCGTTGCTTCGGACTCCACGCTCACGTCGTTAAGGAAACCAACCATTAAGCGTCTCTGTCTCCACTTGCTCCGGGCTGAGGTGGAGTCGACCAGTCGCATTTTGGAGGTCAGAGAACGGCCAGGCCGCCCAGAGAGAAAGAGAGGGCGCAAAAGGAAGGACCGGGCGGGGATTGGATAAAATCCCAAGGGTAGCGAAACTAATCTCGCGTGTCCAGCCCCACCTTATACAGGACAAATCCGCTATGGGAAGTCGCGTCGACCCTCCTTAAAGATTTTGGTCTCCTTTCGCAGGCGCGGCGCCCCCCAGTGTTCGCGGAGCTGCAGCGCTAAGTGAGTTAAACCTCTTCTATTCCGACGGGGAGTTAAACCTCTTCTATTCCCACTTACTCCGACTTGTGAATTTTCCGCAGAAAGAAGTGATATCTAGGAACTGATGAGGGACGGGAAGTTGAGACTTTACTAACCGGTCGCGCGCGCGATCGCTCCCTCTCAAGGGCCAGGGAAACCGAGGGTGGGAATCGCGGGGTGGGAACCTCTCGGAACCTGGCTGAATCCGAGCTGAGCAACAGCGCGCCTTGGTCTGGATTGAACCCGCGCGATTCGCCGCTACCCCTCTCTCTCCCTCCCTCCCTCCTATCATCCGTCTGTCTGTCTATCTATCATCTATCTATCGTATCTCTGTGTGGAGAGGTCGGGAGTGCCGTTTCATCTAGCCCGGTTTGCTTAATCCAGGGAAGACTTGCAGCTGTGGAGCAGTTCAATAATGACTGAGTACAATAGTTCTATGGCGCTGCCACAGAGCGGAGAAACCCTGGGAAAGGCGCACTCCTAGGGCTCGCCAAGCCCCATTTTTTTCTCCCTGGCTCCTCCGGCGCCCGCGGCCCCCTTCCGGTCCTTCTCATCTTCCAATCTCCTCCCAGGTGGCGAGTCTTTTTCCTTTTTTTTGAAAGGAATTTTGAAAGAATTTGGGCGCGTGGCAACAAAGTTGGACCCACCTCCCATCCGGGGCATCTTAATTTTTTTCTCCGGGAAGGGAGAGGCAGGAAAAAGCGTCAGGATATAAAGCTGGGAATTATTTTTTTAAAAGGTGCGTGGACACGGTGCACGGGAAGCTGAGGTAACCAGGGCTGCACTTTCTTCTGGGTCTTACTTCGGAAGAAGGCGGGAAGGCAGTCAAATATTGAACAGGATGTATCCCCCCACAGCCTGCCCCGTTAGCATGAGCTAAGGATGGCTGGCTGGGTAGGGAATGTGCAGTCGAGCAGCGTGGTTCATGTCCACCCCCATTAATGTCCTGTGAAAGCAGCACTAGAATACATGGGATTCTCTCCTTCCAAATGTGAAAGTAGGAAAGTACTCTTTTGGAGTACTTGTGTTAAGCAAGTATTAAAGGATAGGGTTTCTAAGATTATGTCTCATAAATCTGATGATCTTTTAGTAGATGACACAGGTGTTTCAAGGACCCAATATTTGTTGAATTATGGGATAATCATTGCATTCTAACCGTGACATAGCAACTAAATAATAAGTCTGCCATCTGCTAATATGGACCTGCTAATAAGGGCCCTTCTTCACCATATTTTATACTGGCATTTTTCTTCAATGTCCACCCCTTCTCCACTAACCACTATACTTTATGTCTGTGTCCTGTTGATGACTCAGATCGGCAGAAGGAAAAATAATAGGAAGTATTCAAATAAACTCTCCCTAATGTTTTGTGGAAGCTACTATATTTAGGCGGATAGAGGGGTCTTCAATATTTTCCTTCTGAGAAAAGGCTAAACATTCTTTAGGTTTGAAAAAAAAGGTATTATTGGGAACATGATTGAGACATAAAAAAAATATACATCAGGAAGAAGGGTTTTTAAACCATCTCTTCAAACACTAGGACCGGTGATCATCCAATGAAACTAATTCAAAGAAGATTTAGAACAGTACTCCACCTCATCCCAGTACTTCTTCATGTAATGTATAGCTAAAATATGGAGTTCATGGTGATGGCCACTAACTTGGATTGTCTTGAAAAGTGACTTGGTAAATTTAAGGAGGACAGATAGATCAAAACCTGTCAGTGTTACTCTGGTTTCTCCTGCTCCCTTAGATAACTTGCCTCTTAGGGAACAGAAGAAACATGTCTCTATGTTTTCCTTCTAGCACCCAAGAGATGTCTTATTGGCCATTGTGAGAAACAATAGATGGATTTTGTCTGATTTTTCCAGACTGTTCTTATATATTTATGACTTGATTTGGGAGAACTGGGTGAGGGGCTTTTGAGCTTTCAACCCTCCCTTCTATTATCAGAGCACTGAAAGTTGAATGTCATCTGTCCAAAAAAATCCACATTAATCACTTTCCTTATCCTATTTTTTTCCCCTCTTAAGGAAGCAGATGATGTTTGATAGTTCATCTGACTTTTTATGGTTGGTTGCTGGGCTGTACATACTTTATAGTGCTTTATCATCAACTAGGTTTCCAGGGCTTGTCAGAGGAAGCTTCAAAGAGTATCGTATCTAAGGGAAAGTGCTTGCAGAGCAGCCTTGGATAGAGATTCCTGTGAAGGAAACAAATTCCTGAAGATCTGCAAAGTCTTTTCAACTTGCCTAGGATTTGGGACTGTGCTGCCTATTCACTCTCTGAAGATGCCTCTTCAAAACCTCACACAACCCACCTATCACCAACCACCCAGTAACTCACAAGATAACCTACAAGGCTTGTTCAGTATGGTGCATGGTTACTTGGGAATTGTGCAACCCAACAGTTTCCCAAAAGGTAAGAATTATAATGATGCAAGAATTACTTTTCATATCATCAACATTATCACTTTAATACAGAATGCCATTGGTTTTTTTTATTAAACTTGTTCAGCCCTTATTTTTCTCATTGTGTGGACTTCTCAGATTAAATGTTGTGAAGGACGCACATTTAATTTGAGAATTCTTAGGAAAGTCTTAACTATTTGAATATCAAGGATGACGTTGGCTGATAGGCAAATGGCAGTGAGTTTGCTATGGTACTGTGCAGAAAGCCAGTTTAACGATCTTAATGAAACAGTACTGGATAAAAATACTCAGTGCTATCATTCTGAAATGAGAAAGGTGTTGATTTATTGTACCAGGTTTACCTGGCATTGAAATTCTGAACAGTATAATAATAAGGGTGTTGAGAGGGGTTTGTTGGTCTGTATATTTGAGCCTGATAGGTAAATACCGTCTACTATTTGTCTATGGTACATTTATTTATTTCACAATATTTATTTCTTCATATATTGAAAAAGATGAACTAACCTTTGGACAATGGCCATATTAATTGATAAATCATTAAATGCTATAATTTTGTTCAGAAAAAATAGCATTAATTTTCAAAAAGTTTTAATTCATCCCCTTGTCATCGGTAAGATTCACGTTCTTCAGTAATTTGCTATACATTTTTAATATTTTTCTTTTGAAGAGAAGATTTTAAGGAACATTGTTAATGAAAAGCAGTTCTGGGCCAAACCTATTTTTCATTAGAAATAAAATATAGCTGCAGCCTTCAGTGGGTGGCAATAGTCTGAATGGATGAGATTGGTCCTCCGAAGAAACATTCATTTTTAGAATATTTTATAATATATCTATTTTTAAATGTGAAAGACGTATAATCCATTTTCCTTTTTCTCAATTGAAAACACTTGAAAAAAATTCACTGTTGTCTTCTGGTGTTTTGCCGCCACAATTCCAGTTTCTGATAGCTATGAAACCTGAGTTTGGGGAGTCAAATATTTCTAATGTATATTAAAGCACTGAAACTGTAACATGACTCCACACATAAATTTAGCTTTCCAATCCCCCTGAGAAATGGACAACTATATAGTAGAACTGGCTGTGGCATTTTACATATATGTCTTCCTTCCTGATCAGAACTTGGGATAACCTGTTTTTCCAGCTTACAGTAAAAATAGGCTATTTACAAACAGATTTTTCTTTATGCCAGTTAGAAAAATGCTTTCTCTTTCTGGTCTAACTCCAGTGTCAATCAACTCTTCTCAGATTTTTTAAAGTGCAAAGAATACAAAGCATGCAACAAGCATCTGATCTGACAATTGTGCAGTCACTTAAAAAAGAGAACAGAAGCAAAAGGTCTGCTTGAATTATGGGCAGATGCTAGACACTGAATTCATAGTCTGAATGTGAAAGGACGAAAGACCTAGGGAATCAATTCTCCATGGAGTAGAACGAAAAAACCCACAAGTTTTTTTCTTGTTTCCAAGAACTTTATGTTCTTAGGCAGTCCAGGAAGAACAACCACAAAACCTTCCACTTGTCTTCATGCAATTTTGGTTATATGATTTAATGCTGTTTTCCAATAAATTGTGTCAAAACTTCAAATGAAATTTCTGTGGAAGGCTTCAAAAGTGTTAAATGGTACAGTTATCCAGAAATTTACCACAATTTGTAATTTAATTGCACAAAACTTAATTTAATTTAAAATAAGCCCTGCCTTAGGCATGAAAGCCATCTGGGTGACTTTGGGCCAGTCAGTTCCTTTCTCAGCTCACCTCACCTCATAGGATTGTTATTGTGCAGAAAATAGGAGATAGAAGGAGCATTAGAAAATAGGAGACAGAAGGAGTATTAGAACATTTGCTGTCTTGAGTTATTTATAAAAATAATAAAGGTGGGATTAAAAAAATCTAGAATTGGAATCAGAAAATTCTCCTTTTCATCGCTCAAGTCAATTAAAAGAACAATAAGTATATGAACTATCTTAGAGCAGTCTTCTGAAATCTCCAATATTATGGCTGAATGCAAGTGTAAGTACAATGGCAAAGCTCTGTTCATTTAATTCTACCACTGTGGACATGCAACAGGATTGTGTTTTAATAGGGAAAAATAGAGTGGGGGTGGAGAGAAGGAGTTACAGCATTTCCTGGGCTATTTTATCAGGGTTGACTTCCCTGATTTTTTTTCTTCCTCATGGCTTTGATTCCAGAAGTGAAGACCATGAGATTGATCACTACTGAATAAGCTGGAGAAAATGGTGTCTTGTTTCTTTCCTAAAAAAATATTTCTGTGGTACTTTCAACATTTTAATAGGATATTTTAATAGAAAGCAGAATGAAAAACATATATTTATTAAAACACCTGAAAGAAATAACAGTCTGTATCTGATACACTGGAGAGAGGCCCAAAGCAGAAAATACCCATAGCCTATCCTCTCCCTTGGATCAGCTATTTCAGGCCCCTGAAAAGATTAACATGGGATAAGTTTTTTTTTTACAAATTGTGTCTGCACAAGGTTTAAATAACAAACACCACTCTTTGAACAGTGTTTCAAAATAACCTTGGATAGATGAGTTTGCAGTGTCTCCTTCCTCTTAATAGCCCAAAGTCTGTGCTTTGAACTAGCCCTGAGTTCTAAGGCAGCCAAGATGCTGTTCATTTAGATTCTTAACCTGAAATCCACTAGTAACCACAGCATGCTTAACTATAGTCAAGTTGTTTTCTATCCAGACTGAACTGAAGCTCAGTTGAAGCACATACACCCTCCACTGTATACAGGCATAGGACAGAAACAGGATTAAATAGTATGCTAGTGGCTGTATCAATTTGACCCCAAGGACACTGCTTCTTTCTTTAGAATAATGAGGCAGGCTATGAGGCTGTGATTTCTTATCTTGAATATAATGCTTCTTGTGATGCAACTCAAAATGTTAAGGTCCTTTTGACAATTCAGATTGTATATAACTGGATAATCTAATCCTTGTGGCCTTCCTGAAAGTTATTGCTGCTTTCTCTTTTTAAAACTAGAGACAGTTCTTTAAACTCATGTGTTTAGTTTAGTCTGTTGCAGCTTAAAGGGGTTGAGAATAATAGCTAATGAAAGTTGAGAGTCTTCTAATTGCTGTTTTTCTGGACCTTCAGTCATTGAATATGAAACTACAAATTAGTTAGATATAAGTAACATTAAATGTCCACTTGGTGCAATATTTTGCTTTGGAGAATAGCCATCTATTCCCCTCTTAGTTGGTAGACTCTGTGTTTTATTACTTCTCTTTAACGACTAAATAGCAAACAGCTATTTAAGAAGTGTATATTGTTAGTTTATCTTATCCGTTAAAAAAATGAATCTAAGGTCAGCAGGCGCATTGTGTATTTCTTGCATTTAACAGTTATCTTTCCATGAAGGCACCAGTTCTTTTATTCTTAAGAATGCTAGGTTTTCTCAGACATCAGGTGTCAAGTAAAATATATGTATGGTGGCTTTTCCTGTTTCTGTTGTTTCTATTGACATTTTTACATAATCCTAAAATGATTCCATAGGCAGATTTGCTTGTGAAGCACTGGACCTAGGCATTCTAATCAACAAGGCCACATAATTGACAGAATCCAGCCCTTTCTTTTGCCATAAGGAAATGTGAAGGTTTCCCCCCTCCCATCCCTGGAAAGGGAGCTAGTTTAATAGGCTGCTGTGGAGAGATGAGGGTGATATAAAGATTGTTTTGAAGTCCATTTTATACTTTGGCAGCTGCTGTGTTTTCCATTAAAGGCTTGAATAACAACATTTCTATTTATTGTAAAGGAGCTGTTCCAGTTTCAGTCAATCATTAATTTTTTTGTTTAATCTCCAGGCAGCTTGTTTCTAAACGCAGAATAAAGAAATTAGTTAGAGTAGGTGGAGGGAAAGTAGCATATTAAGATGGGAAAAGAGATACAAAAGTGACATGACAAAGGAAGGGTGGTGTCTTTTCAGACAACTCTTAACAGGGTCTCCGATTATCAACATTCTATGTTATAAAACTTTCCAATTCATTTAGAATCACGTCCCCTGACCTATTAGTGCTCAATATGTGTGTGGATAATTTGTGCACATACTGTACATGGCTTTTCATTATCTTTTATAATGTGAGTTTTTAAAGCTTTCTGTTGTTTTTCTAGTTGCCATTGTTTAGGCCTATGAATTAAATCGAACCCAGCAGGTTTTTCTCCTATGTCTTAAATTTAACCCTTTGGAGTGTTTCTTTTTCTTTGAAAATTTTGCCTTGTGAAAAATGAGTCTGTGAATTATAGCTCAATATTTTTATTTACTGTTTCCTCCTATATCTCCTTTTTTATAAGGTCACTCAGCTGACTCATATATGGATCACATTGCAGTAAGACCCAAGTTTGACAATATTGAAGCTTAACCAGTTTCTCTAGCTCATACATTTGGATTTTTTGTTTTCCTTTCTCCCTCCATTAAAATATATCACATTTGTCAATGTTAAATGTAATTCTGTAGATTATAGACTAATATATCAGTACAACTAGTTTTAAATCATGCCATTGTGCCATATCTAAAATTTGCTTAATTTATTCCAAATTTTCCACAGTTGGGATGGGGTATAGAATATAATTTCTTGAAGATTTGAAAGTTTAATGAAGGTCAGTTTAGAGGTCTGATCGCTTTTTTACTAAGTAATCCATCCTGTTTTCATTTAAGGAAATACTGATTTTTAATGGTAATTGCTGTGTTGGATAGCTTCATTGCCTTGAATTATTTGTAAAAATAATAAAGGTAGGATACAAAATAAATAATAAATAAGGAATAGAAATAAGTATTACTGTGTCTGTAAAATTTGTCTATCCACCTAATCTACAGCTTGACTAATCGCTTGCAAGCTTTGCATTGCAATAATGCAAATTTAACCACAAAATATGTTATTTTAGAGCAGGCATGTCAAACTCGCGACATCACGTGATGTCACGCAATGTATCGGGCCGGTTTTGCCATTGCCGGCAATGGGGTGGCGC